TTTTTTTTTTTTTTTTTGTTCTTTTAGATCTAAGGCAATGGTAAGCAACGTTTTGCAGTGGGAGTTGGGGGAGGGGTGTGTGCAAGGAGCTGCCTTAACAGAGCCAAACACCAAGTGCTGGCTGCTTCCAATCCAGCCTATGTTGCCAGAGCTGGTGCTACAGTTACCTTTCCCACCCCCCACAGCAGTGCTACCACTGCTGCTGCTTGCTGCCCAGGTGAAGCCCCTCTCCTAGAAATGCTGCAGAACCCCTCAACTCTGCAGGCTGGATCCAGCCCACAGGCCATAGGTTACTAATCCCTGGCTTAGGGCACCTCATCCAAGGAGCAGTGGGTACAGCTTGTACAGACAGACCTGACTGGGGAGAGAGAAGAAAGGCAAAACCCAAGGAGGAGGGAATTGTTCCAAGGCACATTGGGTGAATGGACAGCATATAAATTGGCAATAAGCTATAGAGGTTCATAGCTTATCATATTAATTGGTTCATTCATTGTATATGTAAAGGAGTTAAGACCGCACTGCTTCCAGCTGTTCAGGAGTTTTACTATCTTTTTCCAATGCAACCAAATCAAATTGTGTGTTGAGGCCTTTTGTCTCTGCAGTGTTAGTGTCTCAGTCATGAGAGATTCATGGAGAACTCTTCTTTTTTTCCCTACCCAGGTGCTGTTGATGGGGAAAAGTGGGTCTGGTAAGACCAGCATGAGATCCATTATCTTTGCAAACTACATCGCCAGGGATACGCGGCGTCTTGGTGCTACAAGTAAGATCTCTCTCTGATTGAATCATACAGCGTCAGCTCTTGAATTCTGGCTGAATTTAAGACCATCTGTAAATGGGTGTGAGGCCATTGCCTCTTGAGAGTGCTGCTTTCCCTCTTTTGTAGATGCAGTAGAATAGGGCATCTCCTGCAAATGGAGGCTCCTCCAGGGTGGCTCAGCTAAAAGCTGAGCAAAAATAGATTAAATGAAGGAGAAAAGGCTTGGGAATTACTTTTGGCAAATTCAGAGGCTAGCGCTACCTGTTCATAAAAGATGGCATATGTCAATTTATTCATCTCATCCTTCCCTCCAAACTGTAAACCAGAAAATGACTTGAATGTTGAGGCAGGTGGATTTTTTCGATTGACCCTGTCTGTACTCAGAAAGGTGTTCAGAAGCTCATTGTGGTGGCTTTTGCTGAGGAGGAAGGATCCAACTTCTCCATGGCAGCATACTGCTCTTTGGCAGCAGTAGCTGTGCTGCTTATGCAGATAGCATCAGTGGTCTCGACATAAGGACTTCTGACTTCTGCAGCGCAACTCATTAGCCCGTGTTAGTATATTGTCTTCCCCTTTTTGTAGGGTCATTAATTTAAAGATCTGTAAGCAGTTCTTGGTCCCAGTATGGCTTTCCTCCATCTACTGTCCTCACTGGGGAAAAGCTGTAAGAGTCTTGTGTGACAGATGCAACATTTATAATGGAGTTTCCTCATATGTCAGAATGTTGGGATCTTTTAAAAAATGTTAAATGCCCCATTATTCCCCCTCCCCTTCTCTAACATTTTCCTTCTAGCACTATCAGTTTAAAGCTGCTTTTGCTTATCCAGACCACCCTGGTTTTAAGCATAACACAATTTAGGGGTTAAGGTATTAATCCCTTAAAGGGGTTAAGGTATTAAATATTGAATGTTCCACAGAGAGCAGTATCCTGGTATCTTATAAGCAGGGATCCGGGTTTTCCGTTTCCCACAGAAAAACAGAGAAAACCACAGATTTCCCATTTTTATCAGAGAGAACATGGATTTTCTTTTTTAGCAGAGAATCCCATGGATTTCCTGCTTTTGCAAAGCACTGTGTAGGCTGGATAGGACCTCCAGCGGTGCTATCAGCCCAACCGGGTTCGGCACCACCATGTGCAGGTTCCATTAAGGCCGCATAGTGCTGCTTACGGTCCACGTGCAGCTGGCCAGGCACTCAGGCCAGGAGCGTGGAGGTGTTGGCGAGAGACATGGAGTGCCTGGCCAGCTGCATGTGGACCATTAGTGGCGCTGTGGGCCCTTAAGGGAAGCCATGCGTGAAGGTGCTGAGCCTAGTTGAGTCAATAGCACTGTGGGCAGTCCACATGTAGCTGGCTGGGCACTATACCTTTCATTCTCAGGGGGCAGGGGGGGGACCTGCTCTCCCAGATCTCTGCATGGAGCAGGCTGTGGGCTCAAGCTCCTGCCCTGTTTCCCTCCCGTGGGGCCTCTGCAACCCCACAGGCACGATCCTGCATGGCTGGGAACAGTGGGGCCACATGGGGGGTCTCCTTGCCCCCCTGCTGCCCTGGCAATGTGCCTCCTGCTCCTACTGCTACTTTGAGGGGTGCAGCCCTGTGCCACTTCCTTCAGTACAGCCCCGTGTGCAGGAGGCGCATTGCTGGGACAGTGCTGGACAAGCAGCTGCTAGGAGATCCCCGGGCTGCTTCTCTGTCTCCAGCCAAGCTGGGTTGTGGGGGAGGGAAGCAGGGAAGCAAGGAACAGTGATCCTGTAGCTGCTTGCCACTGTTCCCTGCTGCCCTGCCTCCTTCTCCTGCCCCCCAGCATGGATGAGGACAGAGGAGCTGTGTGGGGATTTCCTAGCGGCTGCTCACCCTGTGCTGCCTCAGTGCATGGGCCTGCACTGGGGGAAGTGGCACGGGGCTGCACCCCTCAAAGCGGCAACAGGCACAGGAGGCATGTCTCCAGGGCGGTGTGGGGGCAAGGAGATCCCCATGTGGCCCTGCTGTTCCCAGCCATGCTGGGTCATGCCTGCAGGGCTACAGAGGCCCTGCATGAGGGACGCAGGGTGGGAGCTGCAGCCTGCTCCCTGCACAGATCTGGAAGGCACATGGCCCCCCCAGGAGCTGGCCCTGCCCTTGCCCCTGCCCGAGCCCTCAGCAGGCAACAGTGGGGGAGCTGGCTCTGTGTTCCTTCTGCACCTGTCTTCTGTTGGGGACAGGGAGCTGTGGACCTGGGTCCCTGGCCCCATAGCTGGGGGCCCCCTCTGGCAGGGCTGGGGGGCAGTGCCTGTGGGTGGGGGGCAAGGGGCACCAGGAGGACTCGGGGGGGCTGTAGTGGTGGGGAAGAAGGGCACCAGCAGGTCTGGGGAGATTGCGGAGGGCCTTGAATTTTAATCATGGATTTGGGGGTTTTTATCAGAGAATTCATAGGGTTTTTTTATCAAGGAATTTTGCAATTTTTTTTTATTGGGGAATACCTCGATCCCTGTTTACGGCAGGCAGCCCTGAGTTCACTCAGTGAGGTGTGGACACCTGTGGTGTTAACCCCCCAGCTGAATACACCTAATAATGCTGGTTAAATGGAGTTCATTGTTGCAGTACAAGATTTCATGTTGCCCTGTATCACTTCTTTATCATGGGGGATGGTAGCAAACCAGCAGTCCTGCCCCCCCACCCACCTTCCACCTGTTGTGTATTTGATGCGTGTGCCACCATTTATAAGCTTATCATCTCTTTGCAGTTGATGTCGAGCACTCCCATGTTCGATTTCTAGGAAACTTGGTGTTAAATCTGTGGGACTGTGGTGGGTAAGTATTTGTTCTTTCCCAAATGAAAACTGTTAGGGTGGCCCTGGTCACCAAGCAGCAGGAGGCCCATCTTTTATCTGCAGTGGTGCTGGAATGCTTTCTTCTTTTTGAACAAATTAAATGAACTGTTTATGATACTTACTTGGTTGAATCATCTGTTTTGTAAGTAGCAGATCCCACATCTGAAATTTACACATGAACTCGGGTGGAAGAAGCTAGCTTGATGACCCAGAATCTGTGTGATGGGCAATAAGACTGTCTACTGATGCCTTCCGCTATGTTGATACACCTTAGCTTTGTGTCTGGGCAAACTCTAGACTGGAGAGATGATTATTAGAAATAGAGTGTAGAACTTCTGTCTGGGTCACTGGTTCAAACTGGACCAAACTAATAGTAATGTTAAATGAACAGGTGGGTGGTAACAAACCTCTGGCTCCTAGTGGGCAGCTCTCCAATGAACAGTTCCATTTACTGGCAATATCAGTAGGGATATATACAGGCTAAAGACTGCTGATGGAAGGAGTTGGTCTCCTAAATAATAAATTGCATGCTAGTTGATCAGGATTGAGGCTGTCTTGTTGGGAGAAGAGTATATTACCTGTGCTGTACTTGCTCTGCAGATAAGTATAGGGCTTTGGCACTGACAGCTGCAGTCTCAATAGCTAAATCTTCAGATGTTGTAGACTTTCTAGGTAATTCAGCCACAGGTAAACTAACTGGAAACTATGCATTTCTTTCTCAGACAGGACACCTTTATGGAGAACTACTTCACCAGCCAGCGGGATAACATTTTCCGCAATGTGGAAGTCCTGATCTATGTCTTCGATGTGGAGAGCCGCGAGTTGGAGAAGGACATGCATTACTACCAGTCATGCCTGGAGGCCATTCTCCAGAACTCTCCCGATGCCAAGATCTTCTGCCTGGTGCACAAGATGGATCTGGTACAAGAGGATCAGCGTGATCTGGTGAGGAGCTTCCTTGTTGCCTTATTAGCAAGTTCTTGGGAACAGCATACTGGCGTTATTATCTTACACAATGCTGTTGTCATCTCTCTCTAAATGCATCCTTACCAACACTTTCTCCAGAGACTCTGTTCAACTGTTTAAAGAAAGCCTCTGAACATTTTGAATTGCTTGCAGCCTCCAAATGTACTCTCCCCACACTACTCTTTGCCCATTTCAGATACTGCTGGCCCATGTAATGTAGAGTCAAATTAATAGTTTCTTTTTAATCCACCTCCTGGCAGGTCTTTACTTTATGCCTGATTGTAGCATCTTTACTAGCTCTTGGGAGTGCTGCAGGGAAAGAAATCCAGAAGATTCAGTATTGCTGTAGTACTTTAGAGGGCTAGATGGTATAGAGGGTTGCTGGGTTTTTTGTGAGGGATAGAGACCCTCACTTCTAGGCTGCTGGTTCAGATCTAACCTTCTTGTGTTCCTCTCTCTGTTTGGGCACTTGTGTAAAGAAGGACTCTGAATAAAGCAAGGTGGCCCCATGTGTAAAACAACAAGCGAGCCTGCTTGGGTTAGACAGAATTCAGGATTGTCTTGGATGTGGAACTAGTTAAGCAAAAAACACTTGTGCTTTGCCACGATGCCTGGTATTTCAGCTTATGATCCAGTAGCTGTTAAATCTTCTGCATATGGATCTTGGTATTATTGCATTCTAGCCACTCCCTGAGATAAGAGCATGGAGGTGTAAAGTCACACAGTTGCATGAATTGGAAGTACTGCATCTCCTATAAGAACTGCTCTGAGGTATTTGCTAGACTATTTTGGGTCAGAGGTGCCGTGTAATTGGACTGAAATTACTGACCCAATTTGAAAGCAATCCCAAATCACATGGTAGATATTTAGCATCCAACAGATACAGTATAGATACATTGTTATGCAACAATTCAGGAGGTGTCTGGGGAGTATTTGCTCCCTGCCACTGAAGGCAGAAGGTGGTATATGCCTTTCAGAAATCTGGAAGCCAGGTGCTGTGGTACAGCTTGGCTTTCACGTTGGGCTCATTTTCAGGCCAATATGTCTTAAGAATCCCCCTCCTTAAGTGGACATTTCTGTAGATTGAATAAACCTCAGAGGAATCAAAATGTTCTTGATCCCCACCAGATAGCTGATCTGGTCTCCACCCACTTGTCATCTTTCTTGCCTTTAATTGCTAGCTTCTACTTCTGAGACTACCTGTCCTATAGACATGGCTGAAACAAGCAGGCTGGATTTTTGTCCGCTGGATTTAATGTGGGCAAAATACGGCCCACGGGCCAGATTTATCCTGCCAGTTGATCATGTCTGGCCCGCAGCTGCACCTGCAGGTCTTCACCTGGGGCCACATCCCACCCAGGGCAGTCCATGCCATGCTCCCTCCTGCACCTGTGGAGCAGGAGCTACCCAGCTGCAGCTTCCCCCCTGCCTAGTTGGGTATGGTGTGCATCCCAACAGCTTCTCTGCGCTATCTGCTGCCTGCGTGCATGCAGGTGTGAGCCCCAGCCTAACAGGTCAGTCCATGGAGGAGGGAAGGGACGGGGGCTAAATTGGAGCCCCCGCGGTGAGGAGCAGTGCTGCAGTGGCAGGAGCAGGGGTAAGCTGAGTGGGGCTCCGGCTGTGTGGAACTTGCCTACTGGGGAGGCGTGCCCCCAAATAATTTTTTCTCCCTCTGCCTTGATCTGCACCCCCTTCCCTCCCCACAGACTTACCTGTTGGGCAGGGGGGGGACAGTAGTGCATAGTAGATCTTGGGTTGCTTTTAAATGCCAAAGGTGATCTCCTACTTAAAAAGGTTGGAGACCACTGTGTAGCCCATCTCAGCTGCTCTTGGGGCTGTGCTGTTAAATGACGTGAAAGTGACTAGGTTCTCTCAATGTCAGAGCTGTTAGAGGCAAGGGGCTCTTAGTAATAAGGAAAGGAACCTTAATAAGGTACAAATAGCTTGGAGTAGGTAAGCTTAAATCGGTTTAACTGGTGCCTTTAACGTTGAAGTCAATGGGACCTGGCCATTTGTGTGATTTACATAGCTGTTTTCCTGTTCCTTAGACTTCCCTTGTTTGTTTGTATTTTTTGATGCCCTGGAAAGTTTAAAAATAACTGAGGTCAGAATAAAAGCATTAGTTACAAGCAGAATGGAGGTGGGCTTTGCAGGAGTGGGTTGTATTTACCTCATGTAAGCAGCAAGAATTGTCACACAATATCTTTAATTGGACCAATTATAGGATTGTGAGAGCTATTAAACCAGCATTTGGGCACAAAATGCTTTTCCTCTGGTTCTAACTGTACAGTTGGTATAGTAAAAGATACTGCCTGAAAACCAAATATATAGAAGAATATGTTTCTGGCATATTCCTTAGAGTCTAGACCATCATGGGTACAACAGTACTTATCTTATGCCAACTTCAGTAATGCAGCACTTTTTAAGGCAGGGGCAGGCAATTATTTCAGGTGGAGGGCCGCTTACTGAGTTTTGGCAAGCTATTGAGGGCCGCATGACAGGTAGCCAGGGGCAGATAAATATTAATTTTCTAAATTTTTTTAGGGACCCCTCAGGCTGAATAGAATGGCCGAGTGGGCCACATCTGGACCACGGACTGCATTTTGCCTGCCCCTCTTTTAAGGGGTTCAAAAACAACAGTTCCTTCCACTGGCTTCACTATGACATGTCTTTGAACGCACAGATCATTCATATCGAGAAGGCTGAACGTTTCTGGAACCCCAGCAATTTAACGCAACAGATCATTGTAGTTGCCAGAGGTAGTACAGGCAGCATGGAAGCTCCTGGGGAAGCTGAGTGTGTATGGTTTTGTTAGTCTGTTTTACATATGATCTGTAATACCTGCTGTTCCAGGCCCAAGCCACTATTCTCCTCTATAGCTCCCGCTGTTCTAGTCCTCTGTCCGTCTCATAACTCTCTCAGTATATTTCCATACTGGCCAGCAGTATCCTCAGTTTTCTCAGCCCTGAAAGTATTGTACAGACTTGTGCTGTGTTTTGAAGTGCAAATCTGGTTCTATGAATATAATAAAATTACTACAGCAAGAATATTCACCAGAAGCAGTAGTGTATTTGCTTATCTGGAAATATCAACTTCTCTTCTCCCAGATTTTTAAAGAGAGGGAGGAGGACCTAAGGCGTCTGTCCCGTCCCCTGGAGTGTGCCTGCTTTAGAACATCTATCTGGGATGAAACCCTTTACAAGGTTAGTATGGCTTCCTTTCCTCTTTAGGGCATGTCTTCCTGCAAGCTCTTTTTCTGTGTGAATTCTGTGGGCAATTGCTATGAAGTTATGTAACTGGACTAAATGCTTCTAGTCCTGGAACTTGGAAATAATTTCTGAGATGGGTGGGTTCCACGCAGGCAGTTCAAGGCAGGGACCTGATGCCAGTTAAAATGCTGGGCTACTTTCCCTTCCGAGATTGGTGTGATGGCACTACCTGAGCCAAGCAGAAATCAAATGATGGTTGTGATCTGCTGTGTTCAGAAAAACAAGTCTGGTCTTAATGAGCAGAGAGACTAGCTGCCTGGGTGGCAGAACCTTTGGATGTCAGCCTGTTAGGCAGTTACAGTGACTTCAGAGGAGCTCAGAGAGCTCGAGCTCCTACAGTCTGTAAATTTAGAGAATTTCTCAGCCTACAGCATGCCTGAATGGAGTTGGTCCAGGATACACACTTTTAAATAATCCTTCCATATGTATTAGCTGCTGCCATACTGCTGGCAGCTAACTGTCTCTCTCAAAGAAGACTCGCTGGGCATTACCTAGCTAAGCTTAATTCCTGAATAAGGGGCTTCAAAGTTTGAATTGTACTGATTTCCCCTGGTTTTCTCCATTGGTCTGCACTTTGTATGGAAGTGTCCATAAGTAGAATTCCATCACGGTAGGGTTAGCTCTATCAGAGCTCTAAAGTGAGATAATACTTTGAATCTTCAGCCCTTGGCAGGGCTCAAACCTCCAATTCTGCCATGAGCTTAACAGAAGGGCCTCTCAAATAGATAAATCCCCTGGATTTTCGTGGGTTCCTGACCTGGTGGAACTGTAATCTGGGTAGAACTACATATTATTTGGGAAGAGGCATTGAGGTAAAGCTTGTACAAATTGAAGGCCTGATTCTAAGTGATTACAAATACCTGTGATTCGGTTGCAGTGGTGTGTTTAGTTCCCTTTAGTATCAGTTCATAAGTTCTGAACACAAGAGATGAAAACATTTTGCTGTCACTGATATGGGATTCTAATGCTATGTATTCGGAATCAAGAAAACTAAAACTTAAGTGGCTTCAAGCTGAAAGTAGTTCATGTTTCTGCTCTGGAAATGTGGGCTCAAATTCAGCTTGGTCACCAGCTGGCGATTTGATATCCTAGTTTGTACATTATTTTTATTCCTCTTACAACTGGCCTTGGCAAGTATATTGTTCAGAAAGAGGTGTGGGGTGAGAATATTAGCAGGTCCCGCAGACATAGTTCTGTTGTATGAATAGCTATGTGAGAGAACGTTGCATAACTCTTGTGTTTTTAACCAACTATAGCCTGAATACAGTTTTTCATGAATGCTGCACAGCAAGAGAAGGAGGAAGTGAACTCATGCAGTCCTCAGCATTTCTTTGCATTCTTTCAACAGGCTTGGTCCAGTATAGTGTATCAGCTGATTCCTAATGTCCAGCAGCTGGAAATGAACCTGAGGAACTTTGCTCAGATTATTGAGGCAGATGAAGTTCTTCTATTTGAAAGAGCCACTTTTCTGGTGAGAACTGCTGTCCCTGCGCGTTATTTCTTAAGGGAATAGGATAGTCTCTCTGATATAAAGATTGTAACATGCATAGAGAGCCTCAGGTGAAAAGCTCTGTTAAATGCAGAGGGTATGCAGGTATAACCCTTTACTCGCTGGCAAATCAAAGGTGCAGAACTTCTTTCAGTCCATGTCTTATGATGGTGAAAGTAATTCTCACCTCTCAATATGAAACAGTAGCTTGCATGAAGTTTCCCAAACTCCCACTCACAGCAGTGTATCTATAACTGGCACTAAATGCTTGATTCACATTTCCCCTCTTTCAGTCCCTGAAGGGTGTTTCACATCCCTGTTCTGAACCCTGCTTTTGGAGTTTTTGTATAATTCCATTCTCCTGAATGAGACAAGATACAGTGTTAATTGGGTTTGAAAATCTCCCAGTTTTCACTTCTCCTAAGGTAATGCGTGAACTGTTCCATAGTTCCTTGTTTGTCATGTGCCTGGTCACAATGCACCCAATTTCTAAAATAGGGTGAAAATTTTCTCTTGGAACTTTCCCTGAGAGAGCACCTTCTCAAAACAAAAAAACTACTGTGGAATATTTTCACTTTGCTTTAAACATTCCATCTTTCAGCCAAGCAAAATATATTTGGTTTTTGAAAGAACTGAAAATGTAGGGGGGAATTCATGCCTCTTCATTTTTCAGCATGTTCATGTGAAATAGTGATTCTTTCCCTCCCAACGTGTTCTACCTTTTTTTTTTTTTTTTTTTT